AAGAGTAAAAATTAACAAAATGCTAGAAATAGTCATAAAAGAACAAAGCTGCACAGACAGTATCACTGGAACTATGGCACACAGCATAGACCAGTCTTAAGTTTTTATCTGGGAATATTTAAGAAAATTTCTCTCTAAAATGAGAAAAATTCAGTGTGATTATTTCATTCAAATAAATAGCAACATAATTACATTACAGGTTTGTTTACTGACAATTACTAATTGGAAAAGGACTAGGATTATCTTTATGTTTAGGCAACAATTAAAAAGAATTTCTGCCACTAATTCCTTCTCATTTGTAGCAGATGTTGTTTCTTATTTTTGGATTTTCTTTTGTTTAGATGAGCCTTCTTCCCCCCTCCCCAACTTGTAAGAGTGTGACTGCAGCATATGTTGGGTAAAAACCTTTGGCTTTGTTTGTGGTTTCTTTGAGGGCAATAAAGGTTCTGGATGGATGCCGTGGTTGTAGATATCCTTGGTGTGGTGATTTTGTCAGTTGCCAGTTAATTGTAGGCTGTAGCACTAGTGAGCTATGTGTGTGGGCAGATTCCCTGTCTCTCTTTGATACGGGAGGATGGAGGCCTTTGAAATCCTTTTCTTTCCCTTGCCTTGTCCTTGTGGTCTTCTTTACAGTGTGAATTGTATTGGCATGCCCAGTTTAATATCTGAGACAGTAGGTGGTGCTTGTGAGTAAGAATCAACCACACCCTGTATGATTGATACATAGAGTAAATGCTGTAAAGGGCTGTGCAAATTGACCTCCCTACCAGTAGGTGGCACTTGCCAGAAGGAACAAGCTGCAGTGTTATTTTGGAGACCCGTAACCAGCTCTAGTTGCTCAGAAAAAGCACCGGAATGCCCCAGGTGGTGGGCGGGGCATTGGAACATCCAGGTGAGTCCTTGTTCTCCACCACAGCAGAGGTGGGGGCGGGTAGTGAGGCTGGTGGGGCTGGGTTGGGTAAGCTTGTTCTCAGGCTCCACAAAAGCTGTTAAGGGGTCAAAGGTTAGCTCCCAGACCTCCCAGGAGGAGCTGAAGTGGCCCCATCCATCTGGAAAGTCTGAAATCAAGCAGGGGGGAGGGAAGAAGAGGGGATGGGTGAAACCTACCTAACAGGTACAATGAACACTATCTGGGTGACGGGCACACTTGTAACCTTGACCCAACCATAACAAAATCGATACATGTAACCAAAAGCATTTGTACCACCATAATATTTTGAACCTAAAAAAAAAGAAATTCTGATGCTTCAGTATAAATTAATAAGAAAATAGAATTTTAGTAGCAAAGTAAGATTTACACCAATGTATTAGGAGTATACTTACTACCATGATGAAAGCTATAGACACAGCTAGCTATTCAGTTTTGATTAAGATCACTGGCCCTAGATGTTGGTTAAAATATCTGTGTAGCTAGATTTTGGCAAGCTACTTGTTTTTTTCTCTATTTCTAATCTGCAAAATTTGAATAATAATAGTCAATTCATAAAGATTAAATTTGAGCTTCTATTTTACCTTTATGCCCAGGGGCTTCTGGGGTGAGACATATTCCACTTTGCAATAAAATATCATTACATTAACACATTGAAAAATCAGTCCCAAGGTCTCTTCCAACTAGGCACATTAAGATGCCATACCAAGCATTTGGACATAAGTATCAAGAAACGGGGCACCTTGTCTGACAAGCCAACTGTTGAGCTTGTATAGCTGGAACTCAGGGACACTCAGTGAATGACACCCTTCTAAGCAATCCGTTGCTTCATTTCTCATGGGCCCATTGCCAGTGGTTAGAATCACTGCAATTTCCTACCTTCATGATATTGAGTAGCATGAGGTCAATTGAGGACATGGCTAAAATAAACTCTTTTATTGATCTGTCTAAAGCGTTTTCATGAAGAGAAATGTCTGAGTGGTTGATAAATGATTAACAAGCCCAAGAGAGTAAATCTTCCAAAAAAAAAAAAAAAACACCAATGGAATATAGAAAGGACTAAAACAAACCACTGTTAAAGGATGAATTTTGAGTTCCAACAGAACCTGAGTTCAAATCCACTTTCTACAGCATGTAGGTGGTTTTGTTGAGTTATATGTCTCTTGCCTTCAATTCTCTCAAATGTGAAATGAGAAGCACATAAGTAATTTTTTATTGGTTCTTTTTTTTTATTTCAGTATATTACAGGGATACAGATGTTTAGGTTACGTTTTTATTGGTTTTTAATAAAGGTTAGATAAGATAATTTGGGCAAAGCAGTTGGCAGAATACCTGGAACAGAAGAGTGCTCCAGAAAGTGGGTCTGTTCTCCTTTACTTTTAACATTACTTTGGAAAACTCCACGTGGAGTTTCTTTTCATTAATAACTCCTTTGGACTTGAGATGTAATTAAGACAGAAATTAAGGCCAGTCTATTGAAACAAACCAATAACCAGTAGGAAACTGAAAAAAAAAATCAGTCAACAATACATTGTTTGTTGGTTCTACATGATATAGATTTATTGTGTTTTTAAAAGACAAACTTGGATTTTTGTTTTGATTGAATTGTTTAGTTAATCTATTACTGTGTCTTTAGAAGAATAGGGTTGTCCAGTTTTGTAACCTAAAAGTTAACAGCAAATTGATTTGCATTCATGTTAAAGTAAGTCTTTCCTTAATTTCATGGCTTCCAAAGGCCCACATTCTCTGAAAAGAAGTACTGCCTTTCTTGTAAGCAACAGTTAAAATAATATTCTTTGGATTTAATTAGCAGTTGATTGAATGATTAAATATGTGTTGAAAGTGGCCAAAAAATAAAATCATGTTATTGTACTAGGAAAAAATTCTCCCATTAACATTAATTGAGTTTTAACAAATGAGCTGATCAGAAGGGAAGGAAAGAGGGACACAGTTTACCAAATGCAAGAATTTGGTGCCAAATGGTGTCAGACACCTGTTTTGAGAGCAGACTTAACGTACTTTTGTCGTGGCACCGTGGAAAAAATAATCACTGGCTGCATTTCTTAACAATAATACACTTTCTAGTTAATGAATCATGCACTGAAACCATTTGCTTTTTATTTGCTTGTTTTCTTTTTCAAAGAATTTATATTCATTTTCTCTGAAAATTATGGAGGGTAATCAAAGTGTCATGCATTTATATGTCAAAGGAGCAACACAGATGATATGTAGGCATGGCCTAAGTTTGGCTTGACTAGTTTAATTTTCTGCTTTTTCTGCCATAAGTAATGACCTATGCTGAGACTAACTCAGAAATATTAAAATAGAGCAGAGCTCCAGGTATGAACCAGGATGGCTCACGATAGAATTCAGCTGGGTCTAGGGGACCCATGGGGCCAAGGGAGTTAGAAAGAAAAGGTCATCATGCTTATTATTAGATGGAGTAACAAGTCCTCGAAGGGGGGTGGGGTGAGAGTAGATTAGAGCCCTGTGTCTGTGACTCAAATTTGTCATCCGGTATGTATGGCTGCCAGAGATTCATATATGAGTCCTCAGTAAGTAGCTGGAGTGGGAGCGGCAGTGGGAGAGGAGGGTTAGTCACACAGAATTTGAAAGACAAAACCAACAAAGCCAAAAACAACCGACTGACTGTGCCTGCTGTTTTCATTCCAAATTCTGTGAGAATTTGAGGGCTCAGAACAATGTTAGACTATAAGGGCTGGGGAGTTTTTCCCCCTCCCTCTACCGAGCACTGAGAGGCCCCAGTTCAAGGAGAGACCCAGCCCAGGATGCTGCAGCAGGGTAATCGCCCCTGGCAGGAGAGGGGCCAGTCCCGTCGCCAGCCTTGCAGGTGCAGGAGACCTTGGCAGAGTCCAAAAGGACTTTTTGTTAGCTCGTGTGAATTTCCCTCAGAGATTTCTAAATCAGTGGCAAAGAATTCAGAAGGAGGCTGGAGGGCCCACCATATTGTCATTAATGTGATTCTATTTTAACCCAGACTAGTATAACCTTAATTAATTCTTGTTAGAGAAGAACAAGTTTCTCTTCCACTAAGAGAAGGGATTGCACATCAGTCCCTTGTGGTGGGAGTTACCCCAGCTGTGGAGTCAACACATCTGGGGAGACTCACACTGCCCCACTTCCTGTGTGCCAGGCACAACCCCAAGTAAATCTTGATGAGTGTTTATTCATTGAACCCTCACCACAAGCCTGCTGCTATTCCATCTTACTTATGACGAAACAGAAGCACAGAGAGGTTAAGTAATTTGCCCAGGTCACACAGCCTGTAAGTGGTGAATCTGGGACCTGAAGCAGAGAGCCTGGTTCAAAGCCTGTCCTTTGACCATTAAGCAACATTTGTGTCTGAGAAGGTGCTCATTCAATGCTGATTCAAATCATTTTATTGAGGTATTAAAATGCATTGAGTTTATTACTCTGGACTTAACAGACGGATTACTCTTAAAAGCAAATAGAAAAATGCTTACAAGTACATCAAAATGAAATAAAATCTGAAATTATAAGAACATGATACAATGATTTATTAGATTTTCTGATTCAACAAGGAAAATTTCTTTATGCTTTCAATGTCTTCTTATCCTATGAGGAAACTAAATTTCCAGGAAGTTCTGTGACCAAGCAAGCCACAGAGCTGACAAGTAAATTAGTCTGCTAGAACCCAGGACTCCCTTGTTCCTCTGCCTCTTTCCCCCAGTGTCACATTGCTGCCTAGTGTCAGGGGCAGAGATTGTTCTACCCCAGGCTGCTCCCTGGAGGTTGGCAACTTGAGCTGCAAAATCTGAAGAGTTGTATTTCTTTTGTTCTTCCTCTCATCTAGTTGACAGACAGAGGACAAGTAATGATTGAATACTCTATTTAATTATTTTTAATCTTACTGAGAATCAACCAACACCAACCATTAAAAAGGAGAAAAACATACAAAACACAAAGCACAAGCACCCTGACTTCAGGCACAAAGTATCAACACTCAATTCGGCCATGAGCAAGGCGATTAAACAACAAAAATAAAGAACGATTAAAATAAGTCTGAAAATCCACCAGTCTGTTCACTAACCTTGCTGTGGAGAACGATAGGCAGAGGAAGTAACACCACCACAGTGAAAACCACGAGGAGAAGTCGACGATAAACAAAAATATAACTCAGAAATTTCATTGTCCTGAGAAGGTGTCTTTGATAGTGTCCTCCTCAATGTACGGTAGATGTTAAATAACCAACCTGGATTAATATTTTTCCAGCACATCATCTTCACTCACTGACCTAGAGTGACTAACATCAGTTAAAATTAAATCTCATTTTTAATTGTTTTACTATCACAATTAACATGAAGAGATAAGCTCAAGGGTGTTTGTAAGAAATCATAACCACTTGCTCATGTGGTTTTTGAAAGGTAAAACTGTTCTTTTCCTACATTCTTTGTTCACGTTAACTGGCATATAGACTGGACAAGTCTAGGAGAAGGTACAACCGTGGAGTCATGTTTGCCCACGATGAGGTTCCTTTGCCCCTTCTGCTGTCCCCTGACTTTCTGACTCCCTAACTGGAGTAGTTACCACTCTGCAATGGTACCTTCAGCAAGTCTCCACAGGCTGCCTCCACTGCCCTTTCTAAGAAAGTATATTTGCAATGCGTAAATTGAAATTACAACTTCAATAGTAGGGATTTCGGCGCATGGCAATGTGAAAGGGAAAGGATTTTTTTTGATACAAATGGATTTGGGAGGGCTTCTTAGATAATGTATTGAGTCAGCCTTCTGCAAAATTTGTGACAAATTCTCTCTATCGTTTGAAAGCAAAGTTCTGTGTATTTCTTGGACCCTACCGCCTCTTTTGATAGGAAACCAAAAGTAACCATATAGTCTTACATAAGCCCTCCACTTTAAGACCTTTGCAGGCTGAACTTGATACTGTTGTGCTGATACTGACTCCATAATTATCAGGGAGTCTGCACAGGGATGAATCATTAATAAACCTCAAGTAAGCAACTTCTGGCCACTCAGCTTTAGAGTATATAACTTTCATAACTTCTAGGCACTGCCCTGTGAAGGGGATACTCTTTGAATGCCATATATGAGCTGAGCTCCCAAACATTTTTAGATCCTGTTAAAACTAAGATGATTTTTTTCCCTCTGACTAGCATCCAGTAGTCATTTACCTTTGCACTTTTTAATGTTTTCCATTTCGTCATGCTCACCTCTCTATTTCTTAAGGTGATGAATCTTCTTGATGAAAGAAAAGCATATAGATAACGTATGCAGTAAGATTTCCAGGCCCAAATCGATTAGCTGTATCAATTTTTATTTTCATTACCTAAAATAATTATCCAGGGTAGAATAATAACCCTAAAGATTGTATTAATAGATTCATACTCAAGTCCCTAAACACTTAAATTGTCATCATTTATTATTAACCACACTTTGATAATTATTCTTCCAGTACCATGAAATAAATGATTAACTGATTGGATGACGATTGAACTGTGACCTACGAGATGAGGACCTGAACTCCCATTAACTGAGAAGCAAAGCAAATCCCCAAAGAGGAAATCTCCTCTAGCAAAAACAGCAGCTGCCAGAATAGCTCAGCACTGAAGCCAAGACACAGCTTGTCACCCCCTCCAGCACAGTGGGGAGAAATGGTATTCTCTTGACCAAGCCTCGCCACATTTTTATTTGGGGTTCTTCGGGAGACGAAAGGGGAAAATTCAGGGGTAGGAGGAGGGAAGCGGGGATGTAAGAAAAGAAGGGAAGAGAAGAGAAAACATTCCAGAGCACTTAACATTCTGTTAGAAAAAGGAAGTTGAAAAAAGCTACCCTCGAATATGTAGAATGTTGTTTGCTGCTGCCCCTTCCCTGTTTGTCCCTCACTCCCCTGCCTGGCTGCCTCGTGCAATAGTCGTGTTCCAGCAGTCCTGACCCATGTGACAGTTCTGTAATCCTTGTGACAACTTTGAGGTATTCAGAGGGGAGTCCCAGACTCCTGGATATGGACTTACTAAGTCGGTACCTGGGTGGTTGGTGACTGCTGTGATTCTAGGGCTCTTAGAAATGGAAGACCACACAAATGGATCATGTAGCACCGCCGCAGAACCCCAGCAGAGCCAGTGTTCACGCTTCCCGTCAGGTCAGGAGTTTTTCATGTAATTCAAACTAATCAGTCAGAAAACTGCTGTGCATGTAGCTTGAGAGACTAAAGAAACTAGCGAGGTAAATATTTGCCCCTGATCATCTCAGTTCTGCTACAGATTCACTATTTCTCACAATCAGATATGTCCATTTTTCTCTCTCAGAGAAAAAAAAAAAAACCCTGATATTTTTCCCACCATCTTTACCACCAAAAATATCGTACCTTTGGAACTTCCTATCCGTAATAACAATGAAAAGATAAAGTGTTAACATATTTCCTAAGGGTGAATTCATTTTAAGTATAGTAAGTGGCATTGACACAGTCCAGCTTCCTGTCAAGCTGACCTATCTTCATTGGAAATTATTTTTTACCTAAATGTAGAATATCTGAGAAATATGTTATTAACGTGAATATGGGACGTTAGCCAGGCTGCCCTCTCGCAGTAATTTTCTGTTGGCATAGCTACGGCATTCACTGCTCTTCGTCATTCAGCTTCTTTTATCATTTGGGGTTGGTGGCTTTTGGTTCAAAACTGTTACTTTTAAAGAAAATTCAGCTTTTAAAGGAAATCTGTGCCTTACATGTTTCACAAAGGAACATTCTAACATTTATTCTGACAAGTCCTTTATGCTTATATTCTTGTTCATTTTCTTTATCGTAGATTCATAGAGATATATTTTCAGAACAATATTTTCTTCTCAACAAATGTCATTGTGAAGGTAAGTCACATTAATTGACAGACAGACCATAAGGATACGGCTTAATTTATACTTTTGACCCCGATAAACAAATGATAGTGGCGAGGAGTTGTTTAATCTCTGGGAGGTTTTAGAAGAAAAGAGGCTACTAAAATGGACCCAAATGTAAATCATTCTAGTGAGTGAATTGATGGGAAGATACTGTGCTTTCACAAGGGGAAGACAGCCTGCCCACAGCAAAGAACTCCAGGTGACTTAGTAGAGCGTCTAAGACAAGTGCAATTGGAGGACGATTAATTCTAACTGCTCTGTTATTTTGGAAAACAATCTTCGTTTTCATAATCCCTAAAACAATTAATTATAAATTCTCATGGCGAGAGTCTTGGCCTAATGTAGCTTTCTGGATTTTTTGAGAATCATACCAACTCTGGTTTAGAAAACTGTTCTAGGGCTCCATGAAATATCCATGCCGAATAGCCCGTTCTTTCTCAGCCCATTATTGAATACCTCTAATGATGGATGACTCATTCCTCATTCCATATTTAAACATCTCCTTTCCTCTCTGTTAGACTTACTTTCCTCTTGAATTGGGACAAAATTTGTCTTCCTGTAGCTTCATCTACTGTTACTTCTGCTGCTTGCGATTGCAAGGGGGAAAAACTCAAGCTCCTCTTCCATATGACAGCCTTTGTGCATCTGAAGTCTTCCTTTTTCCATGTGCTTCAACTATTCCTCATGTCTCAAATTTTAAGTCTTTTCCCTATCCTGGGCACTTGTCTCTCTATCTCTGGCCTGTTTCCTGAGTTAAATGTTCTATTTCAGATTGTTTGTCAGTGAGGAGCAGTACTAGACTGTCACCAACTTGCTTCTGGACGTGGTTCTTATAACAATGCAGGCTAAATTGCATAAACTTTTTTGTGTTGCTCCATTACATTCCAGAAAGACTTTGAGCTTACTATCCAATAAACATTCAAAACATTGTGTTTTTATTTGTTTATTTGTTTGTTTTTATGTGCTACAGCTAAGTAATCTCTATCTTGTCATGGTGGTAAATATGGAAAATTTTTCCTATTTTCATCTTGTTAAATTTGTACATATGCTTTAAATTGCCATGACTATTGTCATCCATCACATGCATGCTATCCACATATTTGATAACAGCAACCTCCATATTTTTATCTAAAATCATTGACAATATATTCAAGAGGTTCCTTCCTTCAAATACCTTCCTTCAACTTGACATTCTTACATTGGAAAGTAGCTTTTGGGCACTATCATTAACTTGAATCCACCAAATTGTCACCTATTAGTAGCCCACTCTAGAATCTGGCCCAAGATTGTCATCTAACACTGATGTACAGTTAATAGCAGTGACTTTTACCTTATTGATAATCAGTATGGTATCTACCTGTCTCCCTGTCTTGGAGCACAAATCCACATTTCCTATAAAATATTTGAAATCTACTATCTA